GTCAGATTTAGAAATCAGGTTGCAAGTGTCAGCAATGACCACATTAAAAATGAGAGCAACCGAAATCTGCTCGAACAGCTGATCGAAGTACAAGTCCAGTCAGCAGTTCGAGCAAGTATATTAACCGTGACATACTGACAAACAGCAGAGTCTAATATCAGCTGTTACTGGAGATAACGCCCGTACGCCAACAGCTCACGCGAATAAAATATAAGTCGACCGATTAACAAAGTCTACACGAACGCGGACTTATCTTATAAATCTAAATCGGGCCGACGCGAAATAATACATGTAAAGTGTAACATATAATTGTTAATTAAGATTATTGAAAAAGTTATTAAAGTGTTTTGTTGTGTATTGAGTGGTTTATTGGTGCGTCCTGGTCCTCGGCGAATCCCCTACCTGTATCCTTCACCCAAGGGTACAACAATATTTTGTTCTGTTCTTGTTCCTACCAATTAAATAATTTTAATACATTTTGTAATGCGCAATGTTTTACATGTCTTCCACATCGAAATGTATTATTAGAATCGAGATTTTCGAGAGATTTAATATTTTCATGATGTGTATCGATGGATTTGTTCACAATGTAGTCGTTATTTATAATATCATTTAACCACTTGCGTTTTTCCAACCCCTTCACAAATACGATTGCTGAACTGTTTCCTTTTACTGCTTCCGAGATTAATTGTCTCGCCATACAGTACGGTACCATTCTATCGTTCCATTGTAATCCATGATGATTTATCATTAACCATGTAGCACACCTTTTATCAGATTTGGTCAAGAAACACCATGGCATGGGACTTTTAAAGATGTAATGCGTAAGAATGTTTCCATTCTTTAATATGGCTACTTCCTTGACGACAAATCGTTTCTCAATAATAAATCCTGTAAAAGGAGAAAAAAGTATACATTACTATAAATATGATGAATTTAAAAATAGAGAAAAATGAAGTAATATAATAAGAAAATAATAGAATACCTTGTAAATCGACAAACGTTGGGACCATATTGATGAACGAGATGGATCCGTTTTAATATGAATGGAAAGAAATAATGAAGCCGTTTGGTTTATGTATATTCCTATATATAATTTTTCTTCGTTGAGAATGCGATATCAATTTTATTGGTGTATGAGATGTATCACGTATAGAGGCAAACGTGATATAGATTTCAATGTTGTGTATAAGTGTTAGTGAGAATAATACGTAGATTAATAAGTTATGTAATATATTGTTGTATAAGTATTAGTGACAATAATACATAGATTA